TGTCAGTCGAAACGACTGAAGTACATGGTTGCGAGGGCCAAGAGGAGCACAGCAGTGGACTTTGAATCGCCGCAGCCCGATGCAGCTCGTTTGCCTTCTGCAGCCATGGATTGCCTTGAGACGCAAGTGTACGATCCGACTCCTGCTGCTTCGTTGCAAAAAATGTATATATATATATATATATATGTAGTATGTCCATGCAGACACACAGTTTTTCACGCATCTATGTTCAGGAACGGACGAGCGACATGTGTCCCGAGGACGCTATTGCTTTCAAAGGAGCTGTGCCGAGTATGATCTTAAATTGCAGAGGACGAAGAATGGACCCCATTGCAGTGGCGACAGTCATTGATGGACTGCTTCATTTATAAACCGATCGGATCCAAGCATGCATGCACGCATGGTTTATAACTATACTTTGCACGCATGCATATTATAGGACCATTTGGGATGGACAGCAGAAGAAGCCGAAGAGTGGTTGGAGGCCTTCGAAGACAAAGGGGACAGATTAATTTTTATAAGACATGCATGTGAGCGATGCTCAGGAGTGGCAGCCCCGTGGTTGGGATGCTGACGAAGTAGACACCTTGTTGAAGGTCTTCTGGCCGCAATGTAGGATGTTTGAGCATTAATAAGCATGAGGGCTATCTATTGAATATATGTGATGCTGAGGAGATGGACGATGAAACCGAGGATTGTGGGCAGCTCGTATTCTGGTAAGAATGCACATAGAAGCATGCCAGTGGTGGAGGAATTATTGCGACCAAAAAAGAAGGCCTGCCGAAAATTGGGTCGCTTCATGTTTTCTGTATAGGGCCTGTAGTATCGTCCTGGGCCAGGATCAAAAGTTGGCCAGCAGTCTGTCACAGCCCGAGGTCCAAAAAACTGTGTTTCTTAAGATTCTTTTGGGATCTTCCAAGGTACGAGGATGTGCCGAAGCCATCTTTGGAAACGAAGCCACGTGTCACCCCCATGGCTCAGAAGCAGCTCAAGTTGGCCAAGAAGCTGGAGGTTAGAGAACAGTGTACACGCATGGCACACATGTCATTGGCAGCATTTAAAATGCATTCATGTATCACGCATGCACTCATGCATGCATATACAGGGACATTCATGTATCACGCACTCCTGCATGCATCCCACGCAAGCTAGCCATTCATTCCTGCAGGCCGAGAAAAATCGTGAGTGCTCAAAGAACAAGAAGACTCCCGCTGCTAAGAGCTCTGCAGCGAAGAAGCCCAAGCCGCCCTCGAAGGCTAAGCCGAGCAAGGCCCCGAGCAAGAAAGGCAAGGTTGAAAAGCCGACGAAGGGCCAAGAGAAGGCAAAAAGGGGTCAGAGTCACTACGGCCGAGCCTACGATGAGTATAAAGCCCGCTTTAGGCCCGGTGCTTGGAAGGTTTACAGTATAGATATTATATATTCACTCGTCCCTTCTAAGGCACGAGTTCGCCTGCGACCCGATGGGCAAGGTCTTCAGGGACGAGTTGTCCAAGAGTTGGCTGCAAAGCCAGGAAAGGTACGATGTGGTTTCGAAGATGAGTGCCAGCGAGAGATCCAAGAGACGGCTGACTTTGTAAGTTTGCTACCTGGTAGCTGTTTCCTCAGTTGCAAAGCACGGGAACAATTCGTTGCAATTCGGTGCATGGGTTTGTGTTGCTTCTAAAACAGCACGCCCATAATTCGATCGTACTTCGTCTGCCCGCATGCAACAGGAGAGCAGAAAACATTCTAGTCTTAAGAATCAGACGCATGTCTCCACACATGCACATGCATGGATCGACATGCATGATGGTTTTTACCTTTTTCGCAGCCTTTGGTCCCGAATGCTGCTTTGGACGAGCTCGCAGCAGGATCGAACTGTGGAGGCAGCACCCTGAGAGATCGAGGTTTTTTTTTGCATGCATGCACGCATGGGTTACCAGAATATGGTTATATATACTAGCATGCATCGAGGTACTTTGTAGGTTGGAAGTCAGGCACTCATGGGCTCACGCATGCATGCACGCATGGGTTAGGGTACGTAGCATGCATCGAGGTTTACACCTTGTTCGTTGGAAGTCAGGCACTCATGGGCTCATGCACACATGCACGCATGGGTTAAAGTAGCATTTTGTTGTAATTACCCTGGTGAGGTCGCTTTAACGAGAACCTTGTCGCCGACGATTTGTCGTTGCCTTGGCATCCTGATTCTTCGCAGATCGAGGTCTGTGCACGCATGCAAGTTTGACTCCTGAGTCAACTGCTGCTTTGGCTCTCCAGGTCATGTGCATTGAACCATGCAGTTGCAGGCATATCGTGGGATGTATACCATAGACCATAATTTGGCAGGGTTTGAGGCTTTATAGGGTTTTTTTTTGCGGGTCCGGTGCCATGGAGCCGCCGAAGGCAGGACACCAAAGCAAAGTTTGGGGAAAGCGGGTCATGCATGCATCTGGACCAGGATGATGAAGAAGCCTCCGCGGGGAAGGCACGGGCACGCACAGGGAGAAAGCTTTTAAACTATCGTGCATGCATCGAGAGGAGGACCCCGCCTCGCCATCGGCAAACGTCGCAGCCTTAGCAGGCATTCATATTTGCTGATACATATATAGTGCTCCCCAAACTATATATTTGTTGACCTGAAGACATTAAGGACACTTTGGGTTTCACCGTGGTTTCTTCTCCACCTCCGGTCCTGACCTCCAGCTGTATATGCACACTAGAATCCTGACAGCACTGAAACTAAGGAGCAGCCTGCAAAGAATGATCCGGTCGTCGAGGCCAGTTTGCGACCCTCTGCCCCCCGCCTGACAGCACTGAAATTAAGGAGGAGCCTGCAAAGGATGATCCGGTCGTCGAGGCCAGTTTGCGACCCTCTGCCCCCCGCCTGCCCACATGCATGATCACTCATGTTCACATATATAAGCAACGGCATGCATGTGCCCACATGCATGATCACTCATGTTGCACACATACATGACGGCATGCATGTGCCCACATGCATGATCACTCATGTTGCACACACTAAACCCTAAGCCCTAAACTCTAAACCCTAAGCCCTATAATACGCCCTCAAGCCGTATATAAGCAATAACTGCATGCATGTATGGATGATGATGATGATGATTTTAAACAGCTTGCATGGCAGGATCAACAGGCGGTGATGCGACGACACATTCAGTATTTGGAGACCTTGAAAGCCACAGCATCCAGCCGAAGAAGAGCTCTTATAGCAGAGGCCTATTCGCTTCCTGAGTAATTACCTAAATATAGCAAGAAAATTAGAAATAAAACTGGTCAGTTCTAGCAGGCCGCAAAGAAAGCAGAAGAGACCGAAGAGGTGGAAGAGATAGATCCGGAGCAGGCCGCCACCAGCATTGCAACGGCAGCCATATAATCTTGCATGGACTCTGAGGTTGTCTACTTCCCAGAGCCAAAGAAGATGCCCAAGGCTGCAGGGCCGAAGCCTCCTGCAAAACCTGCTGCTGCTCCGCCGAAGAAGAGACGAAGCAGAGAGGAGGTCCGACCGAGAAATTTGTGTGCCACACACGCACACAGATCTTGCCAGGCCGAAAACATTCTCTTCAGGATGAAATGTAAGGCCAAGGGACCCCAGGCGGAGGCAAGCACGCATGCATGATCAGGATCACTCATGTTTCATGTCACGCATGTGCATACAAGATTCTTACAAGTCACGCATGCATGCATGGCATGTCACGCATGTGTAAGTCACGCATGCATGCATGCCATGTCACGCATGTGCATACAAGTGCACGCATGCATGCATGCCAGCTCATCGACATGATGGCCCACGACCGTGCCAACATTCCGGTTCCGTGCTGAGCTGTTGTATATATATTAAACCCTAAAGCCGGCCTATATAACCGAGGTGCCCGCTTCACCGCCGCCGCTGGCACCAGCGATGTGTAAATCACCTTCAGCAGAGGCCATGCATGCATGTTGTCGCACACATGAGAACATTCATCGCTCGAATGATTAGGTTCCCAAAGCCGCCGAGTCTCAGGCTTCGTGAATTATAAACGCAGACTGCAAGCACGGCAGTTCTCGTATGTTGCAGGGCACAAAGAACCCGGCGGCCGAGTCCACAGATCAGGAGGCCTATATAGAGATCGTAAAATATTATGATAAGCACGCCAGTTTTCAGTTTTCGTGTTGTTGCAGGCCAAGAAGCAGAAAGTTGCCGGCGAGACAAAAAAGGAGGCCAACTACAGACCAAACACGGAGTTCAAGCACGCATGTTCATTGCTGCAGGAGAAAGCCGCCGAGGTTCATGAGGCCAGATTAAAAGAGAGAAAGAGAGAGAGAGAGAGAGAGAGAGAGAGAGAGAGAGAGAGAGAGAGAGAGAGAGAGAGAGAGAGAGAGAGAGAGAGAGAGAGAGAGAGGAGAGAGAGCGAGAGAGAGAGAGAGAGAAGAGAGAGAGAGAGAGAGAGAGAGAGAGAGAGAGAGAGAGAGAGAGAGAGAGAGAGAGACGGATATAAGCATGCCAGTTCTCGTCTTGTACAGGAGCAGAAGATTAAGGAGAAAGGCAAAGGTGCCGAGTCGTCCCACGGTGATGAGGCCTCGAGGGTCTACGGTTAAAATTTATAGGGTTTAGGGTTTATAGGGGGCCCCGAGGGTCTAGGGTTTGTAGGGTTTAAGGTTTAGATCGAGTTTAGAGGGTGTATAGGGTATAATTTTGTTGATGTGATGGCGCCTGTAAGCTGCGCCTTGATGCACTCCCTAACATGTTTAGCCAAGGGTATGCGCAGAAGCCCCTTGCACAAGGATGACACGCACCGGCGTGGCTCAAGCATGTGGAAAATCCCGACTGAAGTGAGGCCTGTTTGGGCCGTTGGTAGGTTGGGGTTGTTTTTGGTTTTCGGAGGTGAGGTTTGGGGCGTCTCGGTTTGCGAGGTTCCCCTTAGGACCCTTCCCTTCGGAACCCTCTTGTGTGATTGTTCTTCTTTGAAGGGGTTGCAACCATAGATTTACTTCGGAGAAGACGTGAACTGCTTCCTGCCATGGCTTCTGATCAGCACCCCAGTGGACCTGAACGTCAACAGGTTATGATTGCCCAATCTACGGATGCTGCTTCGCATCGGGCTGAACAGCAACAAGCCAGGCTGGAAGGGGAAGTGAATGGCCCCGACTATGCGAGGCCTCAGCTGCCTAATGGGGTGGGGAGGTCTACGAGGGCGTCAAATTCACCGGCGGGGATAGAGTCTCTGCCTTATTCCCCAACCGTCCTCCACGGCAACAGGGAAGCAACGGCCTTTTTGACAGAGGCCTGGCCAGCCCAACCGCAGACCGATGGGTCAGGTCCGGGCGCAACACGCAATATGGGCGAGGTGCCGGCAGCGCTACGATGGATGCACCGTCTGGGTGAGTTCTTCAAGCAGCATACTGCAATGGAGACGCTTACTACGATGACGAGACAGCAGTTTGTGGCCCCGTCTGGCGCTAGCTCTGGGTTCATGATGCAGCATCAAGTTCAACACTCGTCACCTACTACCCCGCACAACGAGTCTACGGGTGTTGGAGCTGAGTTGACTGCGGCAACCCTAGAGGCAAACCCGCCGTTGTTTGGAAGGAATGCGAGAAGGGCGATGGAAGCGTAGCCCTCTCAGGCTCCCCTTCTGCATGGGCCTCATCGAGCTGGACCGGCGACAGATGAGCAGTCGTCAGACTCGATTCCTCGTGAGCTGGTCGAGTCAGAGGTTCGTCGTCAGGTTCAGGAAGCTCTTCGTGTGCAGCAGCAAGGCTTGGAGGAGCTGAAGGAAGAGAACAGACGCCTGCGGCAGCAGGTCAATCCGCCTTCAGGTCTCCCAGAGCGCGCTCCTCAGCTGTTAAGTCACGGAGTACTTGAAGATGATCGGGCCTATTCCAGTGCAGCGCTACCTGCAGATGCTCGGGCTCACAAGTCATGGAGTACTTGGAGGTGATCGGGCTTATTCCACTCAAGGTGTACCTAGGGATGCTCGGGCTTCGCTTACAATTCCTGGAGTACTTGAGGGTGATCGGGCTTATTCCAACCAAGGTGTACCTGCAGATGCTCGGGCTTCGCTTACAAGTCATGGAGTACTTGGAGGTGATCGGGCTTATTCCAACCAAAGTGTACCTGCAGATGCTCGGGCTCCTCTTGCAAGTCACGGAGTACTTGGAGGTGATCGGGCTTATTCCAGTCAAGGCATACCTGATGATGGTCGGGCTCCTCTTACAAGTCGTGGAGTACTTGGAGGTGATCGGGCTTATGCGGCAGCTATGCAACAAGGAGAGGGTCGCACGATCAGTGCCTCTATGCCTGATGATGGTCGGGCTCCTCTTACAAGTCGTGGAGTACTTGGAGGTGATCGGGTCCCCTTTAGCTTTGAGGAGAAGCCGTATAGTGGTCCCGCAGTGTTTGAGCAGTATGTCCCGGGTGGTCCGCGTCCTGAGTTGCCAGGTGATCCCGGTGGAGTGCGTGTACTTCCAGGAACCGAAGGAGGTCCCCAAGGCCGTGGCGCGGAGGGTCGACGCGCATGGCTGGATCGAGCTTCAAGGAGTGCCAGTCCGGAGCTACGGGGCCGTGGAGCTTCGTCGAGCCCGGGTCGTCAAGGGCGCAACGGTCCAATGGCAGCTAATGTGAGGGGCCGATTTCTTCGCCGTGGAGTGGGCGATCTTCTTCAGGGACTAAGTGATGGTGATCTGTATGGAATGGGACCATCGGAGGAGGCTTACCGAGCTAAGCCACTTGAGGCCGAAGGCACCTTCGGCGACTATGTTGGGGACTATCCTCCTGGGTTGGGTGGTGCCACTCAGGAACCCAAGAATGCTGAGGCCCCACCACATCCACTTCAACCTCCGCAGGGAACTCAAGGTGGAACCGCCCAAGATGAGGCTGCGGCTAAGCAAAGTGCTCCAAGCCCTCTCGACGTGTTGATCACAGGCATGTCTCAGCTGCAGCAGGTGCTGTTGAAGCAGAGGGGCGGGGACACAATGGACTTGGAGGCCAAGGCCGTGGTGGAGCTGTCAAAGCTTCCGGAGTACACACCAGAGTCTGGGGCAACGGATTTCCAGGACTACCTGTACTTGACGGAGCAGCAGGTGGGCAGCTTGGCCTCTGGGGCAACAGATTGGTGGCAGCGAACTCTACAAGTAGCTCAGCGGGCTTACGGAGAGTACCAGTCGTTGTCGCCAATGAAAAGGTTGAGCGTGAAGGCCGTTCTTCCAGACGACCTCAGGGAGGAGAAGTACAAGAAATTGGAGCGGAAAGTGGCTTCGCTTCTCCTCAACTCACTCCCCAAGGGTGTCCGAGATGAGTTGGTGGCCCATCGAGTGCAAGGGGTTCACCAGATTCTTTTCCGGGTGGTGCTCAGGACAGGGCACAGCTGCTGAGACAGCTGGATGTCAGCGAATCCAGTCCGGGACCAGCGGAGGCGGTGTTGGCCATTCGAAAGTGGTATCGCTTACTCCAGAGAGCCGCGGACCTCAACATAGCGTTGCCAGATGAGTCATTGCAGGTGAGGTCGTTGTCCAACATTGTGCGGCGCACCGCGGAGGCACATAGCGACTTCAAGTTCAGGGTGGCCTTGGCTAAGACGGAGCTGCAGATAGACTCGAGGCCGAGTCAACAGAATGTGATGAAGTTCCTGCAGCACCTGCTAGCAGAGCTTGAGCAGCTCGGGGCAGGAATCAAGAAGTCTTCGGCGCCTACGGCTTCCTCGGGTGGTGCTTCGACGACTCCGGCGACTACTACAACTACGACTCCTCCGTCGCTGAAGGGTGTGCAGCCTACAAGCGATAGCGGTGCCGGAGGAAAGGGGAAGCAGAAGGGAGGCGCACCGAATGCGAAGCGCCCATGCCAGTGGTTCAGCTCAGACCAAGGATGCCGGAATGGGAAGCAGTGCAGCTTTGTTCATTCGTGGACTGGCTTGAACAGAGGTGAGAGATGTTTGCTGTGCGGCTCAAAGCAGCACCGGGCCAAGGAGTGCAATGCTGGAGGGGGTTCGTCGCCGGAAAGGCCCGCGCCTCCGCCTCCATCGAAGGGCTCCGGAACAACATCTACTACCTCGGCGGCGGTCCCGCCCATTGCGCCATCCCTTGCGAAGGCTACTTCTGCGACTTCTACAACGGTGCCTGCGCCGGCCCAGTCTGAGGCCACTGGCTCTGGAAGCAATGGCAACAAAATCGATGCCACGAAGATGTCCGAGATTTTATCGGAAACCAACCAAATGTTGAAGGCTTTGGCAGCTCAGTCAAGCGGTTCGGCACCGGCGCCTGTGGACCCGCTTGTTCTCATCCAACAACAGCTGGATGAGGTGCGACGCCTGAAGACTTTGAGAGTTCAGGAGCCGGGCCAAGGAGTGTGTTCGTTCAGCAGTGCGGTGTCCTGGTATGAAGCCAGGCTCAATGCTACTTCGTTGTGTTCCGAGACGGCGGCACCCCCTGAGGAGGAGGCGGAAGCTTTGTTGGACAGTGGAGCCAGCCATCCATACAGACCTCCGCGATCTCAGGAGGAGCTGAGCCAGGCCCGACGTGTGAACGTATCCCTAGCCACAGGGGACGGGGCTTTGTTGCCTCAGACGTCTGAGGGGACTCTGCTTGCTGAAGGGGGCGACAACACCCCGATCATTCCAATGGGACAACTGGTCCAGCTGTTGGGGTGTCAGATAAAGTGGACGCAGTCCAGGCTCACTGTACATCACCCTGTACATGGACGCTTGCAGGTGCGACTGCGAGGCAACTGTCCGGTGTTGCCGGTGAGTCAAGCCTTGACCCTCATTGCGGAGATGGAGCAGGCCAGGGTGAAGGAGTTTCAGCGCACCGTTGATGGACTTCAAGCTCAAGTTCGGGTGTTGAGGGAACAAGGAAGAGAGGAATGGACCTGGCAGCGCCATCTCCGTGCTTTCTGTGAGGAGGGCAAAAGAACTTCCATGGCTGGGTTCCTGCATCGTTGCCCTACCTTTGCCAGTGTGCCCGCAGAAGCACTGTTGGGGATTCCAGAGGATGTTCCGTGCGGTCTCCAAGATGGATGGAAGCTGTTGAAGGGAATGCCGTGGTCAAGGGCGAAGCGCAAGGCTATGTTCGCTAGCACGTCCTGGACGGTTCATCTGTTCTCTGGAAATGAGAGGGCAATGGCAGCCAAGCGTACCTCGACTATGAGATCGTCGTTCTGGAGCGTGGCCTTGGAAGGCGACGAGGTGATGGTCAATGTCGACGTTACGGACAGTCGAGCCTTGGATCTCACTCGGCGTGATGGTGTTTTCAAGTTGCTGTGTTGGGCGGCCTTATCGGGTCGCCTTAAAGCGATTGTTGGAGGCCCGCCGAGACAAAGCTTCCCGACTCCCGTGCGCCCGGATGAAGGCCACCCGCAGTACCAGAAGGAGACTCAGCTGATCACCAGAATGATGATGTTGTGGTATGTAGCTGAAGAGGGACGGTGCAAGGCCTGGAGACAGGGACTGTTGCGAAGATCTGTGGTGAAGCCCCATGTCGGTTTCCTGTTGGAGCATCCTGATGGGGGTGGCCGTGATGATCGTCTGCCCCTCTTTGCTTCTCCCTTGTGGCGGGCTTTCTCTATGGATGCCTTGATGGGAGAGGTGGAGTGTGTGATGAACAGTGCACCCACTGTGTTGGGAGGCAACCTGGATCTGTGGCATCTTCAAGGTGCGGAGATGGGAGCGAAGGAGCCTGGGGACCCCATTGGTTCAATGTGGCCATTGGAGTTGGTAGCGAATGTGGCGCATGCGTTGCGGACCTGGGTCGGGCTGAGGCGCAAGGAGAGCCTATTGTCTTCTTTGATGAAGGGGCCATGGAGATCCAAGACTATGTCGTTTTGATGTGGATGAGTGGCGACTTCATCTACAACGAGACCACCTGCCCTATAGAAAGGACTGTCGGGTTTGTGTGGAGAGATCAACCGGAAAACCACACAGGCGAGTGAGCCACCCAACGGCATACTCCCTTTCTATTGATACAGCTGGTCCTTTCCGTTCCAAGGGACCGGCAGGCCACAAGTACCTCTTGGTTGCTTGCTACAGGTTTCCAAAGCTTCCTGGCACCAAGGTTGATGATGAGAAGACCGAGAAGGTGGATCATGGCCATCCGGTTGCGGGACCAGCTCCTGGTGAAGATTGGCTATTTGAAGATGGCGATCCTCAGGGAGATCTACCCCATCCTGAGGGAGGAGAACCGAGTGATCCCCCGGTCCCAGGGAGTGATGAGGTGTCGAAGGACAAAGAGGATGCAGAGGTCGAAGCGTTGAAGAAGTTGGCGGAGCCCCTGGAGTTTTCTTCCGTCTACATCGTGAGGCCTATGAAGGCTCGGAAGAACGCGGATACGTTGAAGGCCGTGCAAGAGGCATACATCCAACTTCGCTCCTGTGGGTTGCCCGTAAACAAACTTCATGCAGACCGTGCCCGGGAATACACCACTAAGGCTTTGGAGCAGTGGGCCGCCAGCAGGGACATTGACCTTTCGACCACCCAGGGAGATGATCCTTCTCAAAATGGGACCGCGGAGCGAGCTGTTCGCTTTCTCAAAATGCGAATGCGCATCTTGTTACAGCAGGCCAAGGAGCTGAGCGGTTTGTCCACAGAGTTGGTAGCTTCGTTGTGGCCCTATGCTGCTGAGACGGCGTCGGCCCAGCAACAAGCTGAAGTGTGGGGCCAACCTTCTCCGTCGGTCGCTCGCTTTGGGTCGAAGGTCTTTACCAGACGGAAGGGTTATGGCCAAGGAGGCCGAACAGACCTCTTGCCGAAATGGGTAGAAGGAGTATATCTTGGTCCCGTGAGGTCAGTTCCTGGAGGGCACCTGGTCCTGACGGATGAAGGGAACTTGTGGTTCACCACCAATGTTCGGCAGTTCAAGGACCCACCTACAGCAGAAGGAGGTTCAGACGCAGATGTTGAGCTTCCTCTTCACCCTCCACTTCGGCGAGTGCGCAGGAAGAGCTCCATTGTTGATTTAGCTGGTGGGGTAGGCCTTCTTCCGGCACTCGGCAAGGATGTTATCGCCACCAGTGACGAAGGGCCTGGGTTGAAGGCCCTGGCAAGGCTGGACAAGGATGAAGTGGAGCCCTCGTCGGACGATGTGGTTTCAGAGGGGTTGTCTGTGGGCCACGAGGAAGGGCTTGAAAGTTCGGCCTCTAAGGGATCTAGTCGTCGAGATGATGGTCCTCTCGCTGAGCAGTATCTACGTGAAGGTCGGTTTTCAATGAGCGATTGTTTGGCTGTGCTGGAGAGCGAGCGGTTCCGGAAGACGAAAAAACAACGGGCAGCTGCGTGGCAAGCCAACGACCCCCCTTCCATTCATACTACTTTGGGGGCTTATCAGCGCGGACCCTGGACCGGAGTTACCACGGCAACTACACGCCATGAGGCCTTGGCCGCCTACTTGACTGCGATGCTGAAGCATCATGAAGGGAAGGATGTAGTGTTTTCATCCTTCACGATTGCCAAGGACCTCAACACGGATGCTCACAAGGACCGGTTCAATATGCGGGGCTCGCGTAACTATGTCCTCACCCTTGGGAACTTCAAGAATGGAGGGATTTGGCAAGAAGGGGTCAATGACGGCTATCCTGCGGTCTCCATGGAGTTGGGTTCTGGCGAGCACAGGATGGGCTATGTGGAGCCTGTGCACAACAAGATTGTTCAGGTTGACCCCAAGAAGTTGCACAAGACGATGCCCTGGTCGGGTGGGCCAAAGTGGACCGTTATTGCTCACACCATTGGTCAATGCAAAAGGCTAGATGATGAAGCCCGGCAAGGACTTGAACGCTTAGGGTTTGTCCTTCCTCCTCGAGTTTCAGAATGTGAACTGAAGGTCATTCAATGCGAGGAGGTTTCTGGCCCGTTAGCGGTTGCAAATGGGCCATGCTGGTTTCCTCCTCCGGAAGATGTTGAAGGTGAAATGTGGACCCGGATGTGGTCTAGACGGGTGATCGATGAGGAGGAGCTGCTAGCTTCAGTGTGCCCCAAGTCACTGGCCGAAGAGTTTGCAGGTGTTGCGGAAGCACTGGATGAGGCCGGCCAATCTCTTGAGGCTCGGGAGTCCGTGAGTCGGCCTGACCGACCAGGGGTGGAGCGGTGGATGTCGTTATGCCGAATGACCGAGGGAACAGATGAAGTGCATGGAGTTGAACCTTTGCTGGAAACGTTGTCTGGGCCCTTGAAGGTTGTCTATACTGTCGCCTTGGATGAGGTCAAACAGTTCATTCCAAGGTGGGCGGCATCCATTATCAAGGAGGCCGATGCATTGATTAAGGCAAAGGCTTTGGTTCCCTTGACGCTTGAGGAACAGAGGGCCCTGGAACGATCTGGGAAGCTGGTTATCCTTCCGGCAAAGGGCGTCTTCACGGTGAAACCCCCGACGGAGAAGGACCAGCCCTCGATACTGATCATCCTCTACCTCCTGGGGATCCTTCCTTCTACAAGCGCAAGGCAAGACTGGTTATTTGTGGAAATTTCCAGGGCAAGCAGTCTATGGAAGAGTCCTATGCAGGTGGCTGTCAGACGGATAGCCTGCGAGTGATGTTGGTCCACTGCGCTGCATTGGGATGGTGTTTGGCTTCAACGGACATTCGCAATGCTTTCATCCTGGCCCCGATCCAGGAGGAGGATGATGAGGAGGAGGACGTGTACGCCCTCTACCCCCCGAAGGTGTTCCAGTTGGCGAAGGTGCAGTATGCCCTGCAGCTATGGCGGGTGGACAGAGCCCTTTACGGATTCCGTCGCTCTCCTCGCCTTTGGGGACGGTTCCGTGACAAGAGGCTTCGTAGTGCGAAGATCCCCTATGGCGACGGATACATCTACTTGAAGCAGCACCGTGCTGATGAGAACATTTGGTCGGTTTGCGTGGTTGCTGCAGATGGATCCACTACTGTTCGGGCCTATGTCAATGTGTATGTCGACGACCTTTTGTATGTGGGGGAGCCGGACGTCATCAAGGAGCTTCACAATTGGCTGACCAGTGAATGGAAGGCCTCTGAGTTGACTTGGGCATCTGAGGAAACGACTATAAGGTTCCTGGGCTTGGAGATCAGCCGCAGCAGTCATGGAGCGGTTAAGGTTCACCAGCGGGGCTACATCGAGGAGCTCCTGAGGCATCATGGTCTTTCCGAGACACGTGGTCATTTGACCCCGTGCCCGCAAGAATGGCTTCTTGGAGAAGCCGAGTGTGCCCAGGAGGAGTACACCCCTGAACAGCTGCGCAAGGCGCAAGCTCTCACAGGGGAGCTGCTTTGGTTGAGCGGAAAGTCGAGGCCGGATCTCATGCACACGATATCTACAATGTCTTCCTGGTGTTTGAGGAATCCGATCTTGGTTGAGCGCATCGGCTTACGGGCCCTTGGCTACCTGAAGGCCACGATCGACCTCAACCTCGAGTACAACCCCGAGCGAAAGGATCACTACATTGAGGCGTTCTCGGACGCCTCCTTCGCCCCACATGGGAGCCGTAGCGTTGGATGTAGCTTGACGAGGTATCTTCAGCAACCTGTGGCGTGGCGCTCGGGGCGCCAAGCGTTGGTGTCTTTGTCGGTTGCTGAAGCCGAACTCATAGAGACCATCAACACGACGCAGATGGCCTATGGCATCTCGGCGATCACGGCGGAGCTCCACCAGGTTCCGGCGGAGATTGTTGTGAAGGTTGACAACTCTGCTGCTGTTGGCCTCAGCAATGAGGCCGGTGGCAGCTGGAAAACAAGGCACTTGAAGGTGCGGGCCTACCACCTACGTGAAGCAGTTCGCCTACGGGAACTACGTATAGAGCACATAGCTGGAAAGCTCCAGCTTGGCGATCTGGGAACGAAGGCGTTTAACCGCCCTCGTTTGGTGGAGCTGCTGAACCTTTGGGGCTTGAAGTCCGAGGAGGGCATTGCGAGCGATGAGGGCGGCCAGAGCGGTGTCCCAGCCAAGATCAATGGAACGTTGGCCGTTCTCGCGAGGCTCGTTTTGCTCATGGGATGGATGGTTCAAGGCTCGAGAGCTTCAACCATGTCCGAGAAGGAACCAAGGGGCATCGAGGTCAGTATGCCGTGGGAGCTCTATGACTTCATCCTCCTTGGTTTGGTCGCTGCCATTGGCGTTTGGGAAGCGATCAAGTGGTTCTTTGAGTGGGTCTCCTTGAAGAGGAGTGGCTCTGTTGAGGAGTCTCGGGGAGCAAGGCGACTTCGTCGACTACAGCAAGCGGTACAGGAGGAGGTGGCACGCTATGGACTAGATGATTCAATTCAGGAAAGAAGTGCACCGGCAACTCCTTTGGCGACGTCGTCGAGGGCGACCCCTCTTTCCTCACCAACGCCGGCGAGGCCACGCTCAAGAGCTACTGTGGCTTCCGTTGCAGTTCAAACGGATGTACAGCCGGACGGATATGTTCCGTTTCAAGGACCTTTTGTGATGAGCGAGCATGGTGACAGAGTGCATCATGAACCTACCTGTCACGGCCTACGTAACGCCATGACTCGTCGGCGTCAAGTGACATTGTGTCAGTATTGTCAAAGACGCCAGCAGTTGTTTTCCTATGTGGGCTAGTGTTCACTCACAGCCCAAGGAGGAGTGTTGATGTGATGGCGCCTGTAAGCTGCGCCTTGATGCACTCCCTAACATGTTTAGCCAAGGGTATGCACAGAAGCCCCTTGCACAAGGATGACACGCACCGGCGTGGCTCAAGCATGTGGAAAATCCCGACTGAAGTGAGGCCTGTTTGGGCCGTTGGTAGGTTGGGGTTGTTTTTGGTTTTCGGAGGTGAGGTTTGGGGCGTCTCGGTTTGCGAGGTTCCCCTTAGGACCCTTCCCTTCGGAACCCTCTTGTGTGATTGTTCTTCTTTGAAGGGGTTGCAACCATAGATTTACTTCGGAGAAGACGTGAACTGCTTCCTGCCATGGCTTCTGATCAGCACCCCAGTGGACCTGAACGTCAACAAATTTATAAGGGGGTTGAAAGTTCAAGCACGCCAATTGTGCAGGACAAGGAAAGCCCCGCTGCTGGGTCGTCCCGCGATCATGAGGACCGATAGCGAGAGAGATCGAGAGGGAGAGAGAGAGAGAGGGAGAAGTTCAAGCACGCCATAATTGCATGTGCAGGATAAGGAAGGCCCCGCTGCTGGGTCGTCCCGCGATCATGAGGACCGATAGCGAGAGAGATCGAGAGGGAGAGTCGAGAGAGAGAGAGAGAGAGAGAGAGAGAGAGAGAGAGAGAGCACACCGTCGATCGGGCAGGTGAAGAAATCTGCTGAAAAGCAGGACGCGGCCGGGGCCTCCGATCGCTCGAAGATACATGTCCCCTGCACGACATGATTCGTTAGGAGAAGATCGATCCAGGGCCGCCGAAGGACAGGGCAAAGAGCGAGAGACACAGAGAGAGAGAGAGAGAGAGAGAGAGAGCGAGAGAGAGAGAGAGAGAGAGAGAGAGAGAGAGAGAGAGAGAGAGAGAGAGAGAGAGAGAGAGAGAGAGAGAGAGAGAGTGAGTGAGAGAGAGAGAGAGGGAGAACATACACGCATGCACGCATGGGAGGGACATCGTGCACGCACGGGGGGAAAGGACACGCATGCACGCATGGAGGGTACCGAGCGAGAGACAGAGAGGGAGAGATGGGAGAGAGAGAGAGAAAACAAAAGATCGAGAGAGAGAGTGAGAGAACACACGCATGCATGCATGCATGCATCATGCATGGGAGGGTCGAGTGCACGCATGCATGCATGGAGCCGCCGATTCAGGAGCCGCTCACAGCTGAAGACGTTCAGGCCCTCTCAGCGGCGGCCCAGCAGCTGTTCGAATTGCTGAATCCGGGGCCAAAGACGGATCCGACACCGATCCCAAAGCAGCCGGATCCGATCCCAAAGCAGCCGCTGAACCCGAAGCGGCCACCTGCACCCTTGGCCAAAGTGCAGACGGGGAAGGGGGTGAGATGGGTGGTGGCCCCTCCCAAATGGGAGGGGCCACCCGTGAAGACGCGGTGGCCTAACCCACCGCCACCGCCGCAGCGGTGATCCGGGTTTTGGTGAAAATCGTGCGATTGCAAGCATGATGCAAGCATGCATGCCACTGCCACGTAACATGCTTGATCCTGTGCATCTAAGGTCGAAGCCTCGAATCTCCTCGCCATGGCGGAGACCTTACACGCATAGTGCATGCATGGATCCAGCACGCATGCATATACCACTCATGAAAGCATTCCTGGCACTCATGGTCAAACATGCATGCATGCATGTAGCACTCATAAAAGCATTCCTGGCACTCATGGTCAAGCATGCATGCATCATACTACTATCTAGCTATATATCGAATATATCTATATTCTGGCATCCACCGTGTGCCGCGAGCTGCCCCTGAAATTCCGCGAAATCGCAAGTTGCTGCCTTATATATATATATATATATATATATATATATATATATATATAAGGGCTTTGGAAGTCCAAGAAAGTCCGTGAAATTGCTGCTTGGCCACCAACCGCCCAACCCAAGTCGAGCCCCCAAACCCCCAACCCACCCCGAACCCACAACCGCCCCCCCTGTCCCCCCCACATCCCCGCGAAATTGCTGCTTACCGCGAACCCTCCAACCCAACTCCCCGATTCAACCCAAATCCCCCATACTTTACACTGCACCCAACCTAAACCAAAAACCAGTCCTGACCCCTCCCCTCAACGGCCAACGCGAAGCCTCCAACCCAACTCCCCGATTCAACCCAAATCCCCAAAACTTTACACTGCACCCAACCTAAACCAAAAACCAGTCCTCCCCCCTCAACGGCCAACCCCCTTGAACCCTAAGAATCTATAGGTCTTTTACGAGAACTGCCGGTGCGACGGCGGCCAAGGCCGGCTCGGAACCCCAGCTCGAAACCTGAAACCCTGCAGCGTGGATTAAATCCTTAGAAGTGCATGCTTGCTGCTTTTCGAGTTTTGGCGGCTCGAGTTATAAGCAACATTCGCGGCCATGGAGGGCTTTATGAGACAGAACGACTTCCAAATCACGGCAGAGCTTGAAGAGCTGTCATGGGAGGAGAAGAATCGTCTTCTACGACTTCTCTGCAACATGCTTCATCCTTCGGTGCCATTACTCCCTCCTGGAGGTCGGGTACATCGGCCTGCTTGCAGACGAGAGTGCCCAACGTGCGGTGAGGTTTGTGGTCGTCGCTACGAGCATGTGTCTCACGAATGCTGCAAATGCCAGGGATATAGAGTTCATGTGCAGCAGCGGCAATCCCACGAGTAGTAGAACCGGCACAGCTGCATTCGAGACGGCTGATGAGTGAAAACAATTGCATATAAATGAGAAGCTTGAACACCCATGCTTGCTGCAGCCATCGCTCGGTGTCCAGTTTGCCAGGCCCCTGGTCGGTCGGTTTGCTAGGCCCCCAGGCTGCACGAATGCAGTGTGCCTGCATGCATGCCTATCATGCATGATCCTCTGCATGCATGGAAGCATTCATGGCACTCGATGATTGGAGGCCCTTTCGGCTCGCAGCGGACCATATGCAGATATGGGGAAGCAAGTTCGGAAACAGCCCAAAGACGTCCGACTACTG